TCGGAATGCAGCAACCACTGTTGCAGATATGGCTGATAAATCCGGCAACTGGTTATGGTCACGTTTTGATCAAATTTTACCACCACACACACTGTTGAAGATAGCATCCAAAAAAGGCCCCATGCAACAATTTGAAAACAATAAAGTAGGGCGGAGCTTACGAGATGACCGAAGATTCACTGTCAAGTCGGCATATGATCTTCGAACGTGGCACGCAAACAATGACGAGGACACAATCTGGTCGGCAATAAGTATCAAGGTATTCAGAAGGTTAAAATGTTCCTATGGCTCATCGGAAAGCACCGGATGATGACATACTGAACGGAAACGTCTCCACATCACACGGTGAGTACAACTACCCTTATGTTTTGCACCGATGGAGGACATAAATCATTTACTACGTACTTGCACCTCGGCAGTATCCATCTGGAAGACCGTAGTAAAGAAGGAGAAACTGGCAGCAGATTGTCTGGCGAAAATGGCAGACATGAACCAATATAGTTGTGTGGAGCTTCTCTTCCCACCACTAATGGTGCAACCTATCTTGCATGAGGATTTGCTTAGTGATGTTACTGCTTAAGAAGTTCTAGGTTAGGTAGTTTTGTTTTGTTTTCATTCGTTACAAAAAAAAAAAACCTTTTGATTAAGTCGATATCATCAATTAATCAGTTGATATCATGAGTTCATTGATACCGATTCGGTTAAATAAATTAAAAATCCATCATTTTAAATCATGATTAATACTATTATAGTAACTTTTTTTATTCTTTTATATATTTATTTAATCTTTTAAAAAGTTATAAATCAATTATTATCCATTAAAATTAATAAATTTATATACAATTTTTTATTATTTCAGTTATGATCATTTGTAGAATAAACTTTTACAATATCATTTAATATAAACAAAAATCATTAATCAGCATCATATTTATAAACAAATCTATTAAATATGAGTGACAATTTTGTTGAGATAATAGTTCGGAGAAAATGGATCATCTAGAACGTTAGGAAAATTAATTGTTGAGTTAATGTAAATGCTATAGTACTAATAGGTAGTCACGCTGATCTCCTGATGTCTTTGGAAAGACGCACAGAAGACACAACTTTTTTGGGAAGATGCATGAAGTACACATTATCTTTTCCATGTTGCATGTAGTTTGGACGCCAGGCCTAGCAAAGATTCCGAGAATTGAGAATTGTGAAGTCCAAAAGTTGTCTAGACTCTAGAATTTGCTAGGTGGTCTAGACTCTAGACGCTTTCCAATGAGTATTATAACAAACACCCTAATTAAATAAATAATTTTTTTTCCTGCAAAACTTTTTCCACTCTTTATCTAAGAATTTTTACCTATCATTGATAACAAAATTATTATATGAAAGTGGTAAAATTGCTTGAATACTATTATCCAAAAATTATTCATGATCTAGGATGATGACTATAATAATTGAGATGTTTGTCACAACTACACGACAATTTTTATAGTGTGTGTTGACTACACGATGACTTCCCCATACTGCTTGCATGGTAGCGATGCAATTCAGACACAAGAATTCTGAAAGTCATTGTGCAGTCAACACACTTTCTAAAATTTATTGTATTACAAGTAGAAAGAAATAGAAGATTTAAGAATTTCTTAATTATTTTAACAATCATTATAGATCATGAAATAATTTATGGTACACCTTATTCCACCATAATATTTAAAAAAATTTACTTACAAAAGTTATACATCATTAAAATAATATATAAAAACAATGTAATAAATATATTGTATTACAAATAGAAAGAATTAGAAGATACGGTATAAAATGTCATGAAAATTATCTTATAGATATCATATTCATATCTATTCGAAATGTGAATTATAGTATTTATTGTTAATTATTATGAAAATACAAAATCAATGCTAATTATTATTAAAAATAATAGTTGGCCGAAGAAAAAGGTAAACAGATAATCTGATTACTAAATATGCGAAGAACAAGAGAAGCCATTTTTAGTACCCAAATTTACGGCAGTTTCTCTTGGGAATTCGGCGGCATCTAGTTTCTTTGTTTTAGGAGCAATTGGATTCTCAGGTAATATTCTATCAAATGTAATGGGTTCCTTTTTCGGGTTGATTTGAATTGTTTGCCCTTCTCTTATAAATTTGGTATGTTTTTCAAAATCAGAACTTTATCTAATTCGCAGTTACAATAAATTCAGAGTAAATGGACAACATAGTAGATTCCTTAAACAACGCCTACCAAGAATTTGTTGCCGCGGCAGCTAATGTTCTGGAAACTAAGGAATCTTCGGCTGCTCTAAAGACGGCAGCCACTGATGCTGCTTTGGAGAATTTAAAGAAGAAATGGGAATTATTCAGAGTGTCTTGTGATCAAGCTGAGGAGTTCGTTGAGTCCATCAAACAAAGGATCGGATCTGAGTGCCTTGTCGACGAGGCCACTGGCTCAATGGCTGGGAAGTCGGGCCAGCAGTCGACCGGCCTTCCTCCCATAAGTGCTGTTCGTTTGGAGCAGATGAGTAAAGCTGTGCGGTGGCTTGTCATTGAGTTGCAGCATGGTTCGGGAAGTACAGGTGGTGCTGCAGCTCATGCCCACCCATCGGCTCCTTTCGATGCTAGATTCCAGGAAGATGGTGCTCAGTAGGTATCCATTGTTGTTTCTACTCTGGACCTCCAACAAGTGGCTTTGGATGCTTGATACATGTTGATTTTATAATACAATTCCATGCTTGTTTATTTATTCACCTCGAGTAGACATGTATGGTAAGTATTTGAAGTTGCTTGCGAAGTGATAATAACCCATAGTTGTTTGTGTGATCACGTTGTTTTGAGTTAATTGTTGTAGAATTCTTATGCATTGCATCTATGAAATGATGTGAATTATAGTGCAAATCTGTTGGGATATTGCTTACTGGGAAGCATCCCATTTCTATTCTATGCACTTCTGAATTGCAAGTTTGATAAAATCATTTGTTTTTGCTTAAGCATCATTAGACATTTATAATTTTGCTCAAGTAATCATCATTATAATTTGTATCTACAGTGTTCAGCTTGTCAGCCCAGAATCCGAGTCGCGCTAGGCATGGACATTATATCTGCATTCGTCTTTGCTCTGAGTATAATGTTACTCTTATTCATTGATTGTGTCAAAAAGTAAGTTATACGTTACTCCTATTTGGTTGGAATTGTCGGATACGAGTATATGTCCGGCACAGAAGGATTCGCATGCGGACAATTCGATGAGGACGATTTCTTGCAGAAAGAGAAAAGGGAGAAAGGGATACCAGACGATTGGGGATTGAGATGGGGTACCAATGTCTGATCCCAAGGAATGTCGCGTTTTAGGTTGCTGTCGCGTCTGGGATTGTAGATTGAAATAGATTCGCCTTTCGAGTTGTTTTCGCGTCTGGGGTTGTTCCTCTCTCTAGGCCTTCCGCGGACGATTTTCCTTTTTAAGGAAGAAGGGGAAGTTCAAGAAGAAGCTGCTTGAGAATCAGCTGTGAGGGAATGCCCTCTTGTTCACGAATGCCCTGTTGGGGGAATATCTATTGTTCTAGCCTTGCCTTGTTAGGCTGTTTTCGACGGGTCGGTCTTGATGCCGAGAAGGAGCTGTTTGACACATGAATCCATAGTAAAGAATCGGACAAGGAATGCGCTCTTACTGCTGCCATTAAGCCAATGAAATCGTTTTTGTACGAGTAAGGGGTACGCACGGTTTACGCTTTTCTTGCCTTGTCCAATAAGCGGTTTGCAGGATAAGACGAGACAGATAGAGATATCTCATTAAGAGAGGACGGGACTGCTTCTTCGTGACTGGGACTGTACATGGATTCTAAACCTTGGGCATTCAAACTTGAAGCGAAGCAAGCGGGTGGCATGTGTAACCCGTTATAAGAGTAAGGGTAGTAGCGAGAGGACTAGTAAAGTCAAGCCTTACCTTACTCTTGCAAGTCTTTTCGTGTGCATGTCTGCTTTCTTGTTCTCAGATGCTACATAACGGCTCTTTAACGCATCCCCTGCTACATAACCGCTCTTAGTACGAATCCCCTGCTAGTATGCCTCCCTTTCGTACCGATCGTCACTGTCTTTCCTTGATGACTTGGATCAATGAGACAAGGAGTTACTCAGAGCTGTAGTTAGGGCCTTTGCCAAAGGAATGGGACTCCTTCTAAGCGAGTCAATCCCAGTAGAGAGAGGTTTTTGATTTGCTGCTTCCCGACTGCTGCCCGGTATCAGTCGCCAGAGGAGATAAATTGTTTTCTGCGCAAGGCGATACACAGGACACGGATTCAAGTGTGTTAGGTTGTCACCGATGAGGAGTGATTCATCATATTCATTGAGTTAGTCACAACCGCCAGAGGAGGGAGATAATATTGCCTTAGAGCTCACTAAGGGACTATCCTTTATGCATAAAGGGAAGAGTCGATCCCGACTTGGTTGGGAAGCAAGGGTCTCGGAGTTCATCAAGCAGTTCAGCAACACACAAAGAAGGGTTGGTTGGAGTGCCCGAACAACTCAAAACCAAGCAAAGGGATAATGAACCTGTCACGGAGTTCATTGCAAGGTGGCGAGCCCTTACTTTTGCCTGTCCCCAGAAGTTTACTTAGAAAGAGCTCCTCAAGATGTGCATGAACAACTTCAGGCACGACTTATCATCGAGACTCCTGCCCAAAACCTTTAAGGGATTCTACTACTTGTGCACTAAAGCTCACGATGTGGAAGCACATCTTAGCAAACGGCGGCGTCCTACGAAGTACTTGAAGTTCGTTCTGTTACCTTATTAAGAAAGTAGATGAATCACTTCTCTATTAAAAAAGTGGACTTCTTTTTCACAACCTATATGCGTATGCGGAAAACGAGAGTCCTTACTTTTCTTTCTTTTGCCCAAAAATGAAATAATTGGGGGGCTATCGGTTCCGTTCTGTTCTCTCTCTCTACCTCTTCGTTTTGACTTTTCTTTAAAATCTTTTATGCTCGGCTATACCAACATGGGAAACCTGGCTTCCCTCCCTTTGAAGTGCATTTATCAGATCAGCTCCCCGAGTCAGACGAAAGGGGGTGAAAGGCCCAACTTATTCATTCATGGCCTATTTTTTTGTTTGATTGATCTTTCTTTCGTATTCATTCGACCTGAGGCAAAAGAAAAGTCATACAAAGAAAGGTTCTTTCATGCAATGCATAACGGGCGGGCCCCTATGGATTCCTTCAACTCAATGAATGAAGGGAGGAATATGAGGAAGGCCGGCTTTCTATATGAAAATTCAAACAAAAAGGAAAAGGGTAAAACCATATCTTACTGAATAATCTGACTGAATGAGGAAGAGCTCTTTATGTGATCTCACTTTACCACCATCTGAAATGCGCGAAACTTCGATTGGTGGAAGACAGTCCATGAAGATTCTCCCTTTTCTTACGTGCAATTCCCCTCTTTCGGTAAGCATCCAGTATCTCAGCAAATGAACATTTCTCTAAGCTTATCTTGTAGCTTATACGTCGTTTGAAAGCTGCTTCAAGGATCCAACGAATAGCTAAGGTTTGTTGACGATCCTTGGCTACAATCCCAGGGACATCATAAATAGTACCCGCTATTCTTACTTTTTCCACTTCGCATATGGGCTTTATATTCTCTACGGCGTCAACCATAAGTTTGATTACATCGCGTTCAGTTCGAGCCGGGCGATGAAAAGTTTGATAAAAAATAGCATGAACTCTCGTTCTTTTACCTTCTTTCATGCGAAAGTTGACCAACTTCTTGATCAATTGGTTTTGCTCACCATCCAAGCCCCGACACGGGGAGGGAGCAGGCGAAGCGTGTCGTTCGTAATGGAAAGAAAGATACCACTACTTCGCCTCTTTGTTGGACCGCCGGCGCGAACACAGTGGTCTCTGACCAAGACCAGGAACCTATTCGAATTTGGATCTTGACTGGGTTAAGTACACAAATGGCTTCGTGACTGTAAGATATTATTTTGTTGAGTCTCTCGACTATTAAAAGTACAAAATGGTCCTCTGACTTAGGGAGTTGCTTTGTTGAGTCCCTCAATCATTAAAAGTTACAAAATGGTCATCTGACTATTTATTATGTCACAAACTCATCCTTTTATGTTATAAAATTAATAACAGTTTGAGTTGGATGTTAACATATTAATCGGGTATTATAAAATATGATTTCATAATCTCAAACGACTATAATATATCAGTTAACATCTAACTCAGATTGTCATTAATTTTTTAACGGGAACATAATGAATAGTTAAGTGATCATTTTGTAATTTTTAATTGTTGAGGGACTTAACAAAGTAACTTTCTACGGTCAAGGGATTATTCTGTAACTTTGAATAGTCAGGGACTCAACAAAGCAGTATCATTTGTGTACTTTACCCTTATATAATTAGGTATTATATGTTATGCATAATTTTTTAGATGGTTTAACATCTTTCCAATTCAGTCTATGGTGTAACAGTTTGTATATGTTTAAATAAGACTTTTAATTAATTTTATTTATTTACATTTTTTTTATTTTAGTTGCATTATTTATTGTAAGATTGCTTAAATATTTCTTTATTTTACCTAATGAAGATATTTATGAGGCATGATTTTAATTTGAGTTAATTACATCACATGTACTCAAAGTATAACCTTTATTTTAAATTAGTCTCTAAACTTTTAAATATTTTTCATCCCTAAACTATGGAAATAATTTTAAATTAGACCTCAAATGTTTGATCATTTTGATTTCATCCCCAAATTATGATATTCATTCTAAACTGGTCACCAAACTTTTTGAATATTCCAATTTTATCCAAGCTATACATATATACTAATCACATTCATTTTTAATAAAATTGTTAGACCAAGTTATATTGTTATATGTTTGAAAAAAATAAAATTTAGTTTAAATTATGGTTGAAATTAATTACATAGTTAGACGAATTTGAGGATAAAATTAAAATATTTAAAAGTTTGGGGACTAATTTAGAAAGAGTATCATAATTTATGGATGAAAGTAGAATGTTCAAAAGTCTAAGGACTACGAGGAATTACTTGTGGAATAAGATCTACAAGGTGTAAACTCTTCATGGAATACCTATTTTTTATAGCCCCAAACAAAGCTAAAAACAATTAGATGCTCGTAGACAAACTTCAAGAATGGGTCAATTAATGTTAGCACACTTCTTACAAGGGCAAAGAATGATATTTTCCTAGCTTGCACTTACAAAAGCTAAATTTAGAAAAGTTCATGCTCCATTTCGATAGTTGTCATTTACCCTTGACAAATATCAAACTTTTATCCATTTCGTATTTCTAGAATAGCATTTCAAATGTTAATTGCTAATAGTATAGAAAAAGTAAGCAACTAAACATAAGCATTTTATTTAATTTTTACAATTTAAATTATAAATTATAATACAAACAAATAAAATGTGATAAACCATTAGATTATTAATTCCAGTTGAGAAAATGATATATCATATCAGTGCATTGATAAGTTCAAAACATAGGGCAGTTATATTCACATAAAAATTTCACAAATTGACACTTCTTTTAAGGTGACAAGGCATAATGCCTAGCACCAGTCAAAGAAAGTGAAAACATGGCAGGGAATAGAAAAAATCACAAGAAAACTCATTGAAATTACTCTTAGATTGTAATGAAGGAAAAAAATATATATTACTGATTTAATGATACCTTAGGCAGAGATATCGGAACCTTCACTTCTCAAGGAAACACGCAGTAGCAAACAGAAACTGATGATAACAAGCAAGGCAACTTGAGATACATGTAAATGAAACAGTTCTTATCATCAAACAGAGAAACCAATCAGATACAATGAAACAAATGTTCATAGGGAACAAGGGTGACCCATTTAATGGAATTTTAGCATACAAATTTTGTCTGCAAAAATAGCTGGAGACTTGGAAAAAGATGACTTTATAATAGCAATGCGAAAAGGCCAACTTAAGTTACAATTAACAAAAGCACATTGAGGGGGAAGTTTTTATTTTCTTATTAACATAAGCACATTGAGGGGGGAAGTTTGTATTTTCTTGTTTACATCCATGTTCATGATTTAGTTATTAATAAACTAAAAATATGAGTATAAAAAAATGAATCAATGCTCTGTATTTTTTTTTATATTTATGAAATTGCATGAGCAAAGCTACCTTGTAAAGGAAAATCTAAAACATTAATGCTATGTTTAGGTTATGGACCAAAGATACGTGAACTCTAAGAACAAATATCCCAAGATGTAGATTTTAACATATTTTGTGATACACAATATCTAAGGCAAATGGACCGAAGTTACCTTGATTCAACAAGTCAAAATATGAAAGATCAAGCATTCCTCGTAAACAAATTTATTCGTAAATATAAATGATTTTGAAAACGAGATTGAATTGCATGCATTGTTACACTAGAAATTCTCAAAATTTATGATTAAAACACCAAAGTCATATTTTTTTTGTCTCCACTCTCTTGTAGGTAACTTTCCTGACAAGAAAACGACAAATTTGTTGATATCAAATTACTTAAAATCAATCTAAATTTTCTTCAAAAATTCTTCAATCAATTTCTTATCGCGTTTAGTCTCTTTACTCTCACATTCAATCTCATAACTAAGGGATTGTCTCAGGAAAGTCGGAATAATATACGGTCAATAAACAGCGTGACCAGAAATTTAATAATATATTAACAAAGTCGGTTTAGCACCACCGGAAATGTTGACTAATAATAATGTTATAGGTGAAAACATGAAGAAATATTAAAAATTTTGGCAACCAAAAAACTTAGCTTATCAGTAGATATTGATACCGTGCACAGAAGTATCGATATATATATAGTAATATATAAGAAAGTGATGAAAACCAATTAAAAGTAGACATGTATCGATATCTTTATAAGTATATGTATAAAAGTTTCGGTACTTTAGTGATTTAAAATAATTGCAATAAAAGCGCCTATAAAGTATCTATACTTTACACACATGTATCGATACATGAGAATATAACAGGATGAAATTTGACAAATCCGGTTTTTTTGACAAAACAGGTAACGAATTTGACAAAATCGATTAGAAATTGACAAAACCGATTGGAAATTGACAAAACCGGTTGAAATTTGACAAATCCAGTTTCAATTTGAGAAAATCAATAAAGAGCTACCGGAATTGTTGAAATTTGTATCAATATGTTTATAAATATATGTACCAAAGTATCGGTACTGTAGGAATTTAAAAGAAATGAAAAAAAAAGGAAAATGTCTCGAAAGTATCGATACCTTACACATGTATCGATACATGACAATATAACAGGTTGAGGTTTGAAAAAACCAGTTTCAATTTAACAAAACCGGTAAAGAGATACCATAATGGTTAACGTATGTATCGATACTTTTATAAATATATGCACCAAAGTATCGGTACTTTAGGAATTTAAAAGAATTGTAATAATAGCTCGTATAAAGTATTGATACCTTAGAGACATGTATCGATACATGACAGTATAACATGTTAAAATTTGACAAAACCAATATCAATATAACAAAACCGGTAAAGTGATACCCGATATGTTGACAGTATCGATACTTTTATAAGTATATGTATCATAGTATCGGTACTTTAGGAATTAAAATGAAATGACAAAATGAAAATGTCTTGAAAGAATCGATACCTTACACAAAAGTATCGAGACTTAGGTAATGGTATTTGTCATAACAATTTTTTTAAACAATAAAATATTATTTTAAAAAAATTATGACTTTTATTTTGAAAAATCGGTGATTTTGTATTAATTTGGATGAAATTAGATTGGAGTCGCCATCGACCTTTGGGCTAGGTAGGTCGAATACCTAAAAACGTCTTTTAAAAATAATTTTAAGAAAAATCGTTTTTTAGACAAAAAAAAATTGGTCTGCGTTTACCGAGATTCATTTTAACGGGTTCGGGAGTCAGTTACGCATGGGCTTAAAATTGTAAACGGGTTGGATCCATTTGGGCTTGGTCTTGTATTTGTGTTGGGCTGGGTAATCTGTGTTGGGCCTAAAATTTGGGCTTCAAGTGGAGCTTGCAAAGTATGTAATAATTAATAATAATAATAATAATAATAATAATAATAATAATAATAAAGATAATAATAATATAATAATAATATTTTTTCGAGACCTGAACAAAAACGGGTGTCTACAGCTGCCCCTCTTTGCATATTCATGTGTTAACAAGAATAAGGCAAAGACGAAAAAAAACAACCAGTTTTTTTCTGGTTCTTTTTTTTGTTTTGGAAACTTGATATGTTTTTTGTTGGGCAAGACACTGCTCATACGTGATAAAGAGTTCCTGGTAGTCTAAGGGTAACACGACTCTTACGTGATGAGGAGATCTGGTCGAGGGATGACACTGTTCCTACGTGATGAGGACGTCTTGGCCATCTTTAGGGAGGGTGATAATACGGTTCCTACGCGATGAGGATGGTTCATTATCTAGGGGTGACACGGCTTCTACGTGATAAGGAGATCTAGTCGGTGGATGACACGGTTCCTACGTGATAAGAACGACTGGTTATCTAAGGGTGACACGGCTCCTACGTGATGAGGAGATCTGGCCGGGGGATGTCACGGTTCCTACGCGATGAGGACGACATGCCATCTTTAGGGATTTGTTTCAAGGGAAACATACTCAAAGATAATGTATTAAAGGAAACTGTCTCAAGAGAGACAAAATTTGTTTCAAGAGAAACAAACTCAAAGATTTTTCTTTGAAAGAAATTGTCTCAAGAAAGACAAAACGTTTTTTTCGAGAGAAACGGACTCAACAAGTTTTCTTCAAAAGAAATTGTCTCAAGAGAGATAAAATTTTATTTCAAGAGAAACAATTTCAAAGTCTTTTGTTTCAAGAGAAGCAATTTCAAAGTTTGTCTTAAGAAAGACTGTCTCAAGTGAGATAAAGTTTGTTTTGAGAAAAACAATCTCAAGTGAGATAAACTTTGTTTCAAGTGAAACAAGCTCATAATTTATTTCTCAAAGGAAAAATGTCTCAAGCGAGACGAAATTTGTTTTGAGAAAACTTGTCTCAAGCGAGACGACCCTTTGTTTTAAGAGAAACAATCTCAAAGGAGATCGATAGTCTGCTTGTTCCTGCATGTGGAGGAAAGGACTTCAAAAGATCTGATCATTCACTTCAGGATGTTGAATCTCCAAAGATGCCCGCAACATTCATCATTTCTTGCTTTAGCACTGATTATAAGCATGAGCTTTGTGTCTGAGAGTCATATGTCTTGTTTGAAAAACGTTTTTCTTCTTCTTCTTTTATTTTCAAAAGTCTGAAAATATCATTTAAAAGAAACAAAAGTTTGAAAATATTACCCCTTTCTAGGTTTCACAATTGAGGTAAATCATAAAATAAGAGTTCATTGGATATCAAAGAATTAATTACACTTTTAATCCTTCAATAAATTATAGTTATTTGACAAGTGTCAAGATTATTGCTATCTTTGAGGTATGGTTAAGTAAGGAGAGGATAAAAAAGTCTTAGGTTGTTATTTTTTGTCAAAAGTTTGGTATTCTTATTTCTTTGATGTTCACTGATTTGATGAGGTAGCTTGTATGCTCTTTTACTAGAAGTTTTCTCCGACTCCCAGCTCTCATGATCACATTCGGGTTGTGCGATGCCTTATCAAGGGATTTGTGATATCGCCTTCTATACAACAGATGTACAGTCTTTATATTCGAGCCACCTTTTCAGGTTTTTGACTCGAATCCTCCTCTGGTTTCAAGACGTTATTCAGAATTTACTTCTTGAACCCCCTTTGTTATTTTTCTCTATCATACATTAAATATTTTAGAAAACCTTTTGAAATTAAAAGATTAATCCTAATGTGCGGGATGAAATCTGAAGATAGTCTCTTCTGTTTAGAAATCCATGTATGATTAGAAGGGACTTTTAAGACACGTAGTGTGGCTTGTGGTTCATGTTTATGAAAGAAATGGATAAATAGGCCTAAACAAGTGTTTAAGGGTACTTGAACCAAGGATCGATTCATTTTGATGCCAATCTTGTCTTGCTCAATTTGAATATACTCGTATGT